AAGAGGTAAGCTTGCAGTTGGCATCAATGTTTGTTTAATAGCGGTGATTATGAAGCTTCATGCTTTTGAAATATTCCCCGAATGATGAAGTCCTTTCCATTGAATATCTGCACTGTGATTGTCGAGATCGTTAATGGCGTGGTTGATATGTGATATAATTCAAAGTCGACTTGTACTCTTTATCTGTTATGCTTTACGCATATTCATCTGTCCTCCTTGGTCTGCTAGAGTATAGCGCATCGGATTATAAGGTTGACTGGAGGACTTAAGTGTGGATTTTGTGTAAAGTTGATAGCTGAGGGCTTTTCAATCATAATCAATATTAACTGTGGTACAAAATCACTCATTGGTCATTTTGATTTATTTATAAACACATACGCTACTTATTATTCAATTTGAATGATTGGCGCATTTTGTGAACCAAGTGAGCAGAAAATATCATACACTGGCCCTTATTCAACTACACGTTCTTCCTCACTGCCGGTGAATTCTTAAGCCCTTCATAAACTTACTACTTCTTTTGAGTTTCACTTTCTCTTTTACAGTTCTCATATGGTGTATTATAAGTTCGAGAAATATCCATTCAGTCAACATAGTTTTACGGTCCTTTACCGCAGAGTCATTATCTGTTTTGCTAAACATAGCCACGTATGCCACCAGTCCCAAACGGATTTCACATTAACGAATACCTGCCGAACGGGAACAGTTGTGCGTTCAAACGATTTTTACCGTGCGAAATTCTCTTTTAAACTATGGTTGCACCACAATTATCGGTCCTCAGAAGGAATACCCCTGGAAGACTGTCACGTGGTATAGTTCAATATTCGTTGTGAAAGCTGAGCACAAGTTTTATTCTGATGGGGACCACGACAGAGCTTAAGTTGATGAGTTGCATACAAAAAGTGGATGAATAAATATTATTTTCAATGAAGCACGTGAACGGCGAAAAGAAATGAGCTGATTGCGGGAAGTGTTTCGTTCCTGTGTTGAAAAAAACACTGGTTTGCACAATAAAATTTGGAATTCCTAAAAGGAGAATATAAATTCTTAACTAAGCCTTAACTGTAAAGTGCGGAAATCATTTTCGAACTGGGAACATTGTCCGTCTAGATAATGATGAAGTCTGAATCCGTTATAACGAACAAGGTGAGAAAAACTGGCGTCTCCAAATTGGTGCTTTCCGCCAACAGTATTATCTGTTCATGTGTGCACTCTTGATTGACTCCCAATGACAGATAACGGTATCATCTGAGTGCAGAGAGAACGACGCAGAGAAGAAACAATGCTGATCAGGTTTACATATATGTACACACTGAGAAAGGTTTGTCTCATCTCTGTCCCTACTTCCATTGGGATTTCCTAATTCATTTCTCACCAAAGGTCTTCAGATATCATCACAGTGAGGAGGAACCACATTTCAGCAGGATAACATGAATTCAGTTATTTCGGGTACTCTCAATCAGCCGCATACGTACAATGACAATCAAGGTCGAACAACAACAAAGACATGATAGATTATCTGACAAATGAACACATCAATTGGGCCAATCACAGGACAAGGGCAAAGGTCACACAGTCAACCACGATGAGTGAACACATGACGGGGTTCAGTCCAACCAGGGCAGAGGAAGACTGGCCACAAAGTCTAATTGTTTACACAAATTGGGTTTAAGCCGTCAGATGGCGGAGGCGTCAGCAAACTGAAGTAGACGATGGTGTTGTTGTCCTCAGATAAGCAACAGGATCACACTTGTATTCGATGTGAAACAGAGCATACACGTAAACAGAACGAAAAGTTTGACGTTTGTCATCAGTAAATTAAATGAGATGGCACCAAAACTGTCAACCTTCGCCATCATATGTGGAGCAATTCCTGTATCAAATGTGACTCGTTGTAACCTCAGTTTCGTTGAAATGAGGTTGGGGAACCAGTTTCGAATCCACTGCGTAATTTCAAGGCGAGCGGTGAACTCAATGAAAATTCAAATGAATAGATTAGAAATGGAACTTAAAAGTGAGTGAAATATCCATACACAAAACATTGTTGCACCAGATCATCCTCAAAGCTACCTAAATGAGGTCGTTTACGATTATTTTCTTGTTTGCTTCACTAGATCGTGAACCTGGAAGTCAATTGAGTATCACCATTTCCGTGGGAATGACGGACACAGCCTGGAAACTTGGGAGGAATGCTTTGCAAGTGAATTTTGCATTTGGTGAAGTTGAGTACCTTGCTTATATCCAGCTGAACATTGTACAGGAAGCCGATAACAAAGTGATGTTGAACACACAGCTGAAGACAAAAGCACTGAACGTGTATGATTTTGTATCTATGCATGTTGACAAGGGTCTGCAAAAGAGGAGAGCAATATGGCTTTTGAAATGCACGTGGCTTACTTCCAATCATTTTAGAATTATACCTGCAGTTGAACCACAAAACAGTTATTGTTTTGCAAATGGAAATGGAACGTACCGAATGCACGAGTATCTCGTCCAGAGTATGCTCCAAATACCTGAATAGATTGCCGCAGGTTTTCTCGCAAAATAAATCCTTTCATGGGTATTATGCGCAAACCTCTGGCGGAAATGGGTTCATGGAAGACTAAAGTGTATACATTATCATGTTGCTGGAGGAATCTGACCTGAATGGAGGGAAATATTGAAAGCATTGAGCAAAACCGTGTGTTTCATTCAATTACGCATATCCAAGCCCTTTCAATATGGATGAGTGAATATATCATCTTAACCAACCTGTTCAAATACACTGTCGCATCAAGTTTTGTTTAGGATAAATTTAAACTGTGGTCTCGACCGATCTCCCTGTCGGTAAGCACGTGATATCATGAAGTGCATAGAAAGATATACAAGCATGCAGCCAACGAATTCCGATAACAACATCTCTATCTTCGAAGCTCTTCCTCCACTTTCGATTTCCTATGACATAACAAATGTTCCTTCAGAAAAGCTTCCGCTTCCTCCTTCCTGAAAGTTTCATCTTTGTAAATGCAATCCATGAGGATAAAAGAAAAAAGGTAAGTTTTTCTTTCAAATCATATTGATTTCTTTGATTTTCATGAATAACCGGTAAGATAAAAACGGCATTTTAAATCGCACAAGCCTCCTTCAAAGGAAGTTGATATCTGATGCAGAGCAATGGAATACATTTTGGAGAAATAATGCACAATGCTTCATCAACATCTTCACCTCCCATAAAAATGCCTAAAACAGACCCGACAAATTCAGTAAAACTCGGGAAAATGAAAATCTTT